AAAATGCTCAGTACTCACAAAAGAACTCAAAAGTACTCAGAACTTAAAAGAACTCAAAAGTTCTCAGGCTCCATTCAAAGTACTCAGTATTAATTGTCGAATAGATACTTAAAAGTACTGAATTCTATTGCATTCAGAAATGATTGTACTCAGTTTCAAATTTCAATAATTTTCAAGTACAATACTTGTAACCTTTTTAGTTAGCCAATCATAGGACGTAATTTGGGATTAATATGAATAGTGATTCTAGCTTGTGAGATTTCTACACTAAGCATTGAAATGTTACCAACATATGAATATTTGCAGAAAGTACTGAGTACTCTAAAAATACCCGATCCTTAAAAGTATCGATACCAAAGAACTCGATGCTCAGAAGTACTCGATACTTTCCAACACTCATTGAAACCGGTAACAGAGCTGGATAATTTTTAATTACCATTATTTTTAGCTACGATTGCTTAATTGTAATGCTTAAACTATATGCGATTACGATTACTTTAATTGTAATCATAAATGTTACCATTATGATTATAATAGTTCTAATCTTAAAAATTAAAGGACTAAGATTACTGTAATCGTAATCATGAAATACATTTCTAAGGGGAAAACCGCACAGGCTGTGTTACTTTTGATTACATATGTACTCGGATGCGAAATAACGCATTTTCTAAAATTTTGTAAGCAGATTTCCGCTCTATTTCAACGAACATCCTCATTTTAAGCCATTTTGCAAAATCTTTTATCAAGATAAAAAATGCCCATACAGAAATTTTGCCACTGATAAAACTTATACATATCTAGCAAACAAAATCACATATGGCAAGCAATAATTTTCGCATGTGGAGACGCGTCGTTAGCTAGTATTTCACAGGCGATAAGTTAAATCAAAAGTTTAAATAATTTTAATGAAAGTTGAACAATGTAAACGCCTTGTAAATACAATGATTGTGTACGATTAAGAAATAATTATATTCTGATTGAAGTTTTTTTAAAATTTCATCACTGCTATAAAACTTGAAAAGGAGGACACTTTTGCTTAAAAGGAGGACATAGAAGGACAAAATTTTTGAGGAGGACAAATCACGTTTGAGGAGGACAATCCTCCTCAAAGGAGGACGGTTGGTCAGCTTAATAGGCTATACAAGGTGTAGTGTGCCTGACCTACATCAAACACTTGTGGCTCATATTGCTGAGTCGGCGTATTTGTTCTGACGATCGAGTGTGGATTGATGACACATGCAGAACACTCGTAATGGCTTGCACTGTTGCTTAACGTGTGGCGCCACATGAGGCACACTTACCGCTTGCTATTACAAACGCAAGATCGAGTGACGAGCAATGTGGGTCAGCGCATACTATATGAGTACCCAAAGTAAATAAAGAATGAATGTAAATAAGGGGAAAGTAACCAGGCAATGTGATTGGTTACTCATAGTAAATAAGATATTTTATAACTAAACTATTGTAATAGATTGTAAGCATGTTGTAGTATATATATCGGCGATGAGCCGAGAAATAAACATTCTTTCACTCAACTCCTATTGACGTGTTTGAATCATAAACAGGCGTTATACGCTTGAGAAAAGCAGCCGGAGGGCTTAGAATAATACTCAAACCATTAGAAAATTATAACCAAACATTACAAAGGATCCAAAAAAAAAGTAAAAGAAAACAAATGTTTTCCTTGTTTGTATCTCATTGAAAGGTACGTAGGTGGCATATGGAAATACCACCATATTTGTAAACTAAATGGTTCCATTAGAAATACTTGATTAATCACTTGATTAACCTTTGAATGTTCTATGTTATACCAGAACTCAGAGTGCCTACACGGAAACCACATATTTCACAATGTCAATTACATGAATGCAGAGTTAAATAATAGCCCAACTCTGTATCGGTGACCAACAATTTTTTACCTGATAAATATAAACTTTTTCATATATTTTTCCGTAAAAAAAATCTGTGACAAGTATTTGTCACTGATACAGAATAGAGCCGTAAGTCTCGTAAAAAAAGATTTTAAATTTGGATTTCGCAAAATGTTCATTTTTACACATTATTGTTTCTGGCATACGGGGGACGATATGTACTTACCGATTTGTTTTACAAAAAATATTTTAAAAGCAGACGTCTCGGATGCTCATATTACAACGTGATATTCATGAATATACTTCAGTATTTAACTCAAGATTTATTTAAAGAACGTCATGAAAGAGAACAATTAATCTTGTATTGCTAGACCCTTTATAACTCAGGGTAATTTTTAACCTTTTTGACTTTACTCTACTCAAAGCTTCGAATAGTGGGCCGTGAGAAAACAGTAATCTTTAAGTATAGTCCAACCTTTCACAATATCTGTCCAAGGGCGTAATCTGAAACCCAATAAGTACAGGGGCGGACCCAGCAGCAATTCTCGGGAGAAGGAACGTTTTTCAACATATATCGTGTATATAAATTTAAAAATCACCGCAATTTAAATTTTTTAGAGTCTTGATAGTTTTTAATTTCTTGAAGTTTTTCCTTTTTAATAACTTGAGTGGAATTCGAAAATTTTCTAAACTTTCAAAACTTTGTGAATTTGAGAAATTTTAGTAAATCCCAATAATTCAATATAATAATGAATACTAGATTTATAGAAATTTTTTATTTTTCAAAAATTTCAAGAATTGTAGGAATTCTAACAAATTTTTTTTAAGTAGAAGTGTCGAATATACAGGAATGATCAAACGAAATTAAAAGTTTTCGAATGTTGAAAACATTCTCGTATTTCGTGGTTTTTGAAAATTTAAAAAATGTAAATGGACGATGATGTTTTCGAAATTTTCAAAAAGTTTAAAATTCTCAAATTTTGTTATACCAATACAAAATTTTGGAAAAGTTCAAAAAAGGAACAATTTTGGAATCGTTCAAAAATGTTAATATCTTTTAGAATTCTAAGAATTTTCCATTTTTTACCCACAAGTACACGAACATAAGAATTTTTCGACAATTTGTGATGATTTTAACATTTTAGGATAAATAAAATTCTCAAAATTTTTGAAAATATAAAAATTTCAAAAATCTAAATAATTTTGTACATTTGAAAATATTCTCATTTTACCAAAATTTCTAGAATCTCCCGGATTTCGATAGTTTTTGAAATTTTGGAAATTGTCCTAAAAATAAGAAATCTCAAGAAATTTAATAATATTATAAAATTCACAATTTTGGGATTTTCGTTGTTTTCTGAGCCTGTGAAAATATTCAAACTTGCTGTGACTTTCAACTGTGTAAAATAATACAAATTCGAAAATACAACAAAAAAACTAAAAATTGAAAATTAAGTACATAATTTCAAAATTTTGAAAATTCAGTGAATTCGAAAAACTGATAGGCCTGATACTTAAATAACATAATACTTCGAGCTTACCACGCAGCTCAAGTGAAATTTGACACACTTTTTCCATGAATTGAAATTTTCAAAAGCGTCCATTCATTAGGTTTGTTCCCCAAGCTTCTCGAATTCGAATTCTCGAATTTCCCCAATTTCCCCTACCTGGGTCCGCCACTGATAAGTATCACACTTTTAAACTAAGGCTTTCTTAACCCTTTCAGTACAAAAATTCTACCACTGACTCCAAAATTGTTTAAACATGTATACCGGCTAATTTTGGATCGTTCATTTCAAAAATCACAAAAGTTTTGAGCTTTATATTGGTCAGTGATATCCCAGGCGTTTAAAAAAGAGAATAATCTCAACTATTTATATTTTTAGCTTTCGTGAAATATATTTCAAAACAATTAATAATACCTAATACCCTTTCCGAATCTCAATTCCACGGAAATTTTTTTAATATTTTTCAGTGGATTATATTGCTCACAATCGAATTTTCTGACACTTTTTACTTTTGTGACAAACAGGGTCAACTGCAATTAAAGCTTGCACTTTAATTTGATATATAGCTCAATTCTGCCTCTGCTACAGATCGCCCTAACTAAGTCGTATGACTGAGCAATCATATATATATACTAGCAATTACCCGGCATGCTTCGCTGCGCCTTAAATGTATTTTCGTGTTGTAACTCTCCCCCTAAGCTCTTATGGCCTCATTTACAAAATATTTTTAAAGAACTTTATGAAGTTAGATTTAAAAAAATCGATCTATGAAGCATTGTTTATTTTTTTTTTTGAGTTAATATATTTTCGAAGGTAATTAGAAAATATGTAAAGAACTGACTTTCTCTTGGAAATTTTATTTATAATCTTATAACTGGAGTCTACTATCGCACCCTTTCCTCAAACGTGTATTGATTCAATATTCAAATAACGTATATTTATATAATTTGAAAAAATCTCCCTACTATACAAATATGTACAGAGGATGTTTGCTACCATCGATGTTTTCGATGTTTTGAAACCAAACATCGATGTAACATCGATTGTTCTGAAAAGAGTAAGGCGCTCAAAGTCAAAATTAAGTTGGTACATAAAGATTGTATAAACGTAACATATTTATTCATTGGGGTTAACATACACCTTTTTAAAAAGATATAAAATGTTTTTAATTAAATCTTTAAAAATATTTTGATTTTTGTTTATAAAAATAAGTTTGTCGACTACGAACATATTAAAAAAAGAGATCAAATGAACCCAATAATCTTCAAAAATATTTTGATTTTAGTTTAGAAACATAAGATTGTCGACTACGAATATACATATGTACATACATATGTATTAAAAAAAGAGATCAAAGGTTTTCCATTATAAGTCTTCAAAAATATTTTGATTTTTGTTTAGAAACATAAGTTTGTCCACTACAAAAGGCTTGAGGCGTGTACGCCGGTCAGAAATAATTTGCCCAGCCTTGCTGAACATCCTTTCCGACTCGCTCGAGGTTGCTGGAACGCATAAATATTTTTTAGCTACCTCTTTGAAAGGCATCATACTATCTGCGTTCGTCTAAAAATACTTATAATCATTAATTTCAAAATATTTTATTTAAAATCTTTAAATTAACCTTCCAGAATGAGAGAGGATCACATTCCTCCGGTTCATTTATATTTTCCAGATGCTGTCGCAGGATTATAATCGCATCCGCTCGAGAAGATTTAACTTTTGCCTTAATTTTATTTTGCAGAAAAGAAAAATGTGGTTTCTGCGAAGGTTCGGGTGGTGTTGGCTGCTCCCGTGAAGTACTTGGCAAAGCGGTGTATATCTCCTGCTCCAAAGCCTTAACTGCCTGATCTGCATTTGAAGACGATTTAAAACCATCCTTTTTAAATCTAGGATCAATCAGGGTTGTTATTCGGGGAACAGTGCGTGTTTCGTAGTGGGCGAATCTATCATTTAAACGGCTACTTAAAGTTTCGAAGGCACAGACAACTTCTGCAGTTTTAAGATTAGGTCTCAAATTTTGCAGTTTTTGATGAAGCTCGCGTGTTAGGGGAATAACGAGAGAAATTGTCGCATTCTTGCTGCCGGAAGTGGCTATAGTTGCATCTTGGAACGGAGAAAGAAGTTCCGTTAGTTCGTTTAAAATATCGATTTCCTCGGCGGAAAATGGCACTGGAGCCTTAGGCGTACACAACAAGACAGATGACAATGCTTGCATCGTTTCTAAAAGCCTTTTTATTATTTGAAAGGCACTGTTCCATCGAGTTGACACTTCCTGAATCAGGCCAAGCGGGCTTTCAATATTTTGGGCCTGCTTAAATTTAGCCATTGCAGTAGTGCTGCGTTTCATGAAGGAAACAATAGATTTACATTTAGTCAAAATAGGTCCAAGAATTTCAAGTTTTAGGACATCTTGAACTAGCAAGTTGACAGTGTGCGCGAAACATGGAAAATGCTTAACCTCCAGAAGCTCGCACGCTTTCTTCATGGTGCTGTCGTTGTCGGTCACTATAGAAACCACTTTTCCCATCAGACCCCACTCCGTCAAAACCACGCGAATTGAGTCTGCAATATTCGCAGCAGTGTGGTTAGTGGACGTTGAAAGGGTCGATGTTGACAAAACTGCTGAATTTAGCTGGAATTCCGTATTAATAAAATGGCAGGTTATGGTCAAATAGCTCTCGTTCGCCTTGGAGGTCCAACCGTCTGTTGTGATTGCCACATACTCCACACATTCTAAGGCTGACTGTAGTTGGCCTTTTAAAGACTCGTAAACTTTGGGAAGCGATACATCTCGAAGGTATGTTTTGGATGGTAATTTGTATCGGGGATCCATTTTATGCATCAATGCACGGAATCCTGTATCATTCACAATACTAAATGGTTGCACGTCTAGTGCAATCACACGCATTACATGTTTGTCCAGTTCTTCCTTACGCTTAGAATCAGCTGGGTACTGCACATCACGAAGTAAAAATGCATCCAACTTTGTTGATACAGGAAGTTTCTCTGCAGTGAGGCGATTGGGATGTATGCGTTTTAAATGGTCCGTGAGGTTAGTCGTGTGGGCTGCCGTTTTTAAAATTTTTCCGCAGTAAGTGCATATCGCCTTTGTCCTGTCGTTGGTTTTCTCGAAATGCTGCCAAACTATGGAGCCTTCCCGCTTACGTTTTGAGGACTCAGCCTCGCAGTTTTCCTTTGATGTTCCTATTAAATATAAATCATACAATTAAAGCCATAACACAATGTATGTCCAACATAAACATATGTACATACGCACGCGTTTGAAATGTGCATGTTGAAAAATCACATGCGCGTTTACTTATATGATAAATACTTACTTTCAAGGTGTTTCTCCATCGCTGAAAGATTACCAAAACTCCACGTCCGCCGCCACCACCACGAATGAAACTTAATAAAAACTTAAAAAATGTTATAAAGTTGAAACTAATATAATCTTATAGTTCATACCTTTTGCGTGTTCTCTTTTAACTCGTCGTTCTTTACATTTGCAGACGTGCACAAAGGAAACATCGATAGTCGCAATCAACTATCGATGTTTAACAAAAATGCAAAAACATCGATACATCGATAGTGCATCGATGTTTTCTCCACCTCTATTTGTTGTGTCAACCACATACTGCACATGACCAGCGTTGCCAGTTTAGCCGTTTTCCGGCTAGATTTAGCCGTTTTCCGGCTAGATTTAGCCGGTTTTGATAGCAACTAGCCGGAGAAAATTCGATCTAGCCGGCAGCCGATTTGTTAGCCGGTTTGTAAAAAAAAGTTAGCCGTTTTTAGCCGATTTTACTATTTGCCTAATTTTCAGGTGCAAAAAGTAAACAAGTTGTTCGAAAGCAATAATGCAGACCCAATGAAGATTTTTAATGAACTCAATGTTTTACTTTCGCATCTATGCTCCCAAGTGGTTATTAGCGCGGACACATTTGATCCTATATGCTCCCCGTTGGAACCATACCTTGCTCCATTTCCACGGTTTTATCACAGTTTTGAAGAGTATTTAAAAACCAAAGTAAGCACAAACGCTTTTGACCACGAAGCCGAGAAAATAATTCGAGAAAATTGTCGCTATTTTATTATCACTTTAATAAAGGAATTACGCCAACTCCTCCCTACAAATATTGCCACACTAAAAAAATTGACTTTTTTCAGTTGGAAATGCATTAAGAGTAATTAAACCAAAAGTATTTGTTCAACTACAGCAACAAAAACACAAATATTATGCCGACGAAATATTTAACATCCATAGAGATGCAATGGCAACGGTTAACGTTACATACCTGGAGTAATTTAGACTCAACTGTAAAATTTTGGGCCGAAGTTTATCAATTTCGAAATGCCCTAGGAGAAAACCCTTTCGCTGACCTTTGCAACCTAGTTTTTAGTTTTCTTGTTTTGCCTATAAGTAATGCAGAAGTAGAGCGAATATTTAGTCCAATGAATATAATAAAAACTAAGCAAAGAAATCCAATGTGCGTTAAAACGTTAAACGCTATTTTATATATAAGATACGGTTTAAAATGTGAAGAAAAAATGCTGCCATAATTTTACTGTAGATGACGATCTCTTAAAATTAATGAATTCAGGTGATATATACAATAGTGATTCATTTGATGATGAGGAATATACACTCGATATAAATTAATGGTGTTAACTAGTCTTTCGTTTCTTGCGATTTATTTAAATAAAGCATGTGAATTTTCACTAAAATATTTTAGCCGTTTTTTGCCAGAGTCTATGTGAAATTTCACTAAAACATTTTAGCCGTTTTTAGCCGCTTTTTTTGGCCAATCTAGCCGGTCGGCCCAAAAAGTTCTGGCAACACTGCACATGACTTCGAAGCGATGCTTTGCCTTTCGGTTATAAATGTGTACACACATACATATGTATGTATTTAGCATGTTCAATCAGTAATAGCTGTTTAGCTCAAATACGTTTATGTGTGTATGTATGTGGTATAGCGCAGTCACGTCGCTCATACACATCTCTTTTGCCTTTGTGACTTCGTGTTTGATCGGCACTGATGTACAGATTTTTCGCGTAGCTATGCGCTGTATTTGGCAACCAAATAGGCTTATGCTTGTACGTCTTTGTAATTTTTTGTAACTTTACACCCAAAAAAAGCGTGCTTATCTTCCAAGAATAAAAAATATAAGTATGCCACTCTGCGTCTTTTTACAAATGCTTCGTTTAAAAAAAAAAAAATATTAAAATCGGTTTAGTACTTTGAGAAATAAGTCGTTACAAACGTACTCCATATAATCAATTTTATATAATAGTATAGATGCATGAACCAAAAAGACAAGATCACGCGGGCAGGAGAGTAGCCCGTTAGAATCGCATTAATGAAAAAAGTTGAAGGATTTTGACATTAGCCGTTTATTTACATTTCTTCGTTGTTTACAATTTGGTGGTGGCTTTTTACTGCAATTTTCTTCATTTTCGCTTGTGACAACGTGTGTACACATAAGATAAAGAATAATTTAACACAACGGCATGATTTTTAGAAGAATTTGCATAATAAAAATGATTTTTCATGCGTTCAACAATTTCGCGGTTTTCTCCGTTCTCTTCGTTGTTTACTTCTTACAGCAAAAATGGCGTCGAGATTTCGGCAGCTAGAAAATAACTTTTTTCGTTCTTTCCGTCCCGCGTGATCTTGTGTCTTTCGTTCATGGTATAGATGTATGTATATGATTACCGTTAAGTCGAATTTCGCTGATTGTGGAGCGCAGCCAAGTTTTTACCCTTCTTAATGTGCTCAACGACCTTTCAATTGTGGAAGTTGTACAGGGCATTACAATTGTAAGGCGCATTTTACTTCCGGGTAGAGAATTTTGCTTTCAGGTAAACTTCAAAGGTAGAGGTACGCTTTACACAAACACATATGTAACTAGAAGTTCACAAAAGTATATATAAGACTAGTCGTCGATTTAATTAATTAACATTTTACGGCAGATGTTTTTTTTACGAGGAGGAAACATTGAAAGTCTAACCCCGTCAGTGTGAGACTTTATGGCCCCGTCAGAATGGGTACTTTGCGTACGTTCCGCTCAAGGATGAAACTGACAGTTGAGTAGACTGTGTGTTTGCATAGAGAGCGTCAGATAGGCGACGTATGAGTTGCCGTACCGGACGAAAATCACTCTACTCTCTACTTTTGGCGTACAGTAAGTACGACACAAATGTCAAACGCCATTTTCGCTATTCTTCTACATCACGCCACTTCCACGACCGAGTGCGCGAAATTAAAATAAAATCGAATTATTTGTGTTCGCTATGGAATGCAACTTAATCGAGGCTGTACAAGTGCATCCCTGTCTCTTCGATAAATCAATTGCGGGTTACCGCAACAAGCTGGCCAAAGAAAAGGCATGGAACAATGTGGCGGCTGCTGCCGGTGCCAGCGGTAAGTGGAAATTTATAAAATATAAAGGATTTCATTATAAATAATTATTTAAAATGGCAGTGGAACAATGTCAAGGTCGGTGTAGGTCTCTCCGCGATCGCTACTTAAAAGAAGTCAACGTAGGAAAAGGGGCTTCTGGCAGTGCTGCGAAAGACACTAGTAACTGGAAGTACATGGATGCGATGACTTTCCTACAGCGACACGTAGCTCTTCGACAGTGAGTGATTAACCATGAACACCAAATCTATGATATAATATAATTATAAATCGAATTACCCTATTCTGTGGGTTTACTCTGTATTACGATTAGGAACTTAATGCGATTCGAAAGGCGACACGGAGTAATAAAATTTCATAATGCCAAGTATTCCAACCCAAATGATTTGCTTTTCGAATCGCAATACGGAGTAAAGGTCCTGGTTTTCATGGCCTTTTTGCATTGGCTAAAATAGCAGCGTAACGATGTGACATCGAATTGCCAAAGATCTTCTGAAAATATTTGAGTTCCCAGACGTTCATAATTCCAATTCTATGTACAAGGCATAATTCATATTCATCAATAACCCCTATCTTCAATTGAATGTTTAACACAAGCGCTCTATATATTAAACACTAAACTATCTTTCCGCTAAACAGAACGATCGGAAACACCACATTTATCATCGATGAAGTTGAAAACCAGCCTACGCAGCAGCAAACCTTTGAAGAAGTTAGCTTTGAATCGGAGGTTTTGTTTGAGGAGTGCCCTGTCGAGGATTCCACATATGAGGTTGCACAGTGTGACCAGTTGAATAATGACTGCAGGTCGACTTCACAACCATTAATTGAGAGCCAAAAAGACGTAGGCGCCAGTTCGAATAGATCTATAAAGCGGAAAAGAGATGAGGATCGGCTAGATCAACTTTGTGGTACTGTAAGTGACTGGCTAAAAAAGTCTGAAGCACCTGCACAACAACTAAGCCGTAATTCGCAATTTCTATCAGTGCTTGATTCTTATCTTCTTAAGCATTCTGAAGAAGATCAAGACTTTTTAAAAATTCAAATTTTGAACTTAGCCTACAACGGCGTGGAAAATTAATTTACTTTTAATTTAATCCAATGTAATGTACATTGGCCATTAGTACCTGTATTAACGTTCCAACTGAATTAATTACAATGTAATTTAAACGTGACTGAATTGATAGTTCCTTTTTAATTAAATGATTTACACTACGGTGTAGTGATATGAATATATGTACAAATACACATTTAAGTTTTTGGTAATAAATAAAATATACTGTAGTTTGAAGTGTCTAGTAACTTATTTTTATATAACAAAAGGCATATATTAGAATTTTATTATTACATATATATTTATTATTAATATTTTTATGTATTATATTTTTTTTATATAATACTATTTTTGTTGCTATTAATATAGGTAATTTTTAATAAAATTATGTACATGTATTCTTTAACAAAACCCGTGTAAATCCAAGTGTGAGTATGTACAAAGTACAAAATGTAAATGGCTAAAAATTACCGTTTTTAAATATTGCACAAACTTGGATTTACACGGATTTTGTTAAAAAATATATGTATGTATATAATTTCATAAAAAAAATAACCAAAATTAAATAACAACAAGAATAATATGTTTTTTTACTTATCTCTCATTCTCTTAAAAAAGTTGGCTTGGTCCAATACCCAGCCGAGTGCTGTACAGTGTTTTAAAAGAAAACTCATATGAATTCACATTTCAAATTTTGTACAAAATTTAAAAAAGTTAACAGGTTTTCGTCAAATAAACAAACTGTTTTGAAACTGTGTTGCTTCTATAAAATTTAAAATGTTTTCATTGCCAAAAATATACTGCTACTATAATTTATGATTTATGTGTATTTTGTTTATAGTATGATCTGTAACCAATGTGAGGAAATTTTAATAAATTTTAATTTTAAAATAAATAAATATACTACGGTTACCTTAAAAGTGAAATAAAAGTAATGTACATACATACAGCCATGTGAAAAATAATAGTGGCACGAGATTTTGACCAGTTTCGGTTGTTTTTCTTTTGTTTCTTTAATGTTTATTATTTTTTTTTTATAAAAATACAGCTCACTATCTAACTATTAAACATTAAACATTCAAAATAAGAATAGCGAAAAGTGGTAAAAACGTCGTGTCCCTATTATTTTCCCATGACTATATGTATTTACAGTGGTAAAAAGTAATAGAGACAAGAAATGCTGACAAGTTTCGGATTTTTTTCTGTTGTTTATTTAATGTTTAATCATTTTTATAAAAGAATAACTCTTAATATAAAAGCAAGGTATACAATTTTGCCGAATTCTGATCAACTTTTGAAAATTTAATTTATATGCTGTTTTTTATCTTGAGTTATACTTATATAAAAAATTATTAAACATTTAATAAAAAAAGAAAAATATCCGAAACTTGTCAACATTTCTTGTCTCTATTTTTTTCACAACTGTATGTCTATATTTAAATGAACGTAAATTGATAATAATTTTTTATCTAATCTAAGAATGATGGATCAAATCCAATTTCAAAGTTATTGGTGGTAGTTAGGCGGACAATTTCAACTAATGCATAGGGGTTTCCAGCTGTTAGTTGCCTGAAATGAAATGATATATAGTATGCATTTTAAATCTGCTTATTTTTTGTTTTAATTCATGTAATTTTAATATTATAAAATCTTATATTATTTAAAATTTTCATGCAATTTTTATATTCTACTCCTTCGAATACAAATGTAAATAAACTTAATGTATTTCAACCAAAGTCACTTTGAACCTTTGGCAACCTAAATATTAATTATTAAGACATTGCTTACATTGGACAACCTTTATTTTATTCGGTCCTTTGAATTGGGCGGGATACGACATAGCTCATCAACTCATCCCTTAGTTTGAAAGCGTTGTTTGAACATGTCCTTATGGCCTTTTGTAAAGGGGTGGATATTTCGTTGCGCCACAGCCCCTTTGTTACCACGTTCCCATCATCCTGGTCAACGTATTCAGGTGGGCAATAACTTCCATCATGCATCTTCAAGAAATTGTGCAGAAGTACGGTCGCTTTCACAATTTTTTCTGCGGATGTTGGGCTCATATGCAAGGTAGACAAAAGGATCCTCCATCTACTTGCTAAAATGCCAAAAGCATTTTCAATCACTCGGCGTGCTCGCGACAAACGCTTGTTTAAGATTTCCCTCTCCAAAGGCAAATTATTTCCAAAATACATATATAAGAATTAATAGTAATAGTATGAAACTAAAGTGACAAGTCAATTGCTTGTACGAACCTGGATACGGTTTCATTAAAAAAGGTTTTAATGGGAACGCAGAGTCTCCAACAAAATAGTGTGGAAAACTGTTGCTAGTGCCGGGCAATACTTCTTCTTTCGGCAAATTCAATTGGCCCGTATATAAACGCTGCCCAAAACTCGAGTTCCACATAACTCCGCCGTCAATTTGCGAACCGTATGCACCAATATCTACCGCAGTGAAGGTATAATTTGCATCACAGGCTGCCAGAAGGACTATTGAATAGTTACCCTTATAATTATAAAAAAGGGAACCGATGTTGTTCGGGCAAAATATATTTATATGTTTGCCGTCAATAGCGCCAACACAATTAGGTAGATCCCACATTGAATAAAAATCGTTGGCAATGCGTTTCCATTCATTCTTCTGTGGAACCGATAAATAAATTGGGCCAAGTACTTCCCATAAGACATCACACGTCTCTCCAACGATTGCTTTCATTGTGGAGAGCCCTATTTTAAAGGCAGAATAATGAAACTGCTTACTTTCCCCATACGCTAAATATCTATATGGGCAAATCTAAAATACAGGTAACCTTGGTGTTATTTAGCTTTATTTTCACTGTTGGAAACTATATCAAGCTGATTGCTTTTGGATATAATTCACTGACGTATACTTGAAGCCTCAAAAAAAATTTGGATCAACTTGCTGCATAACTTTTGAATTATAGGTGTTTAAATTTAAAAAATTAATGAAAACAAGTGAATTCTTTATGTAATTTTTAAGAGGGGCAAACTTAATTATGTCATAACTTTTGAAGCACATATTCTGACTTGAAATTTAATGGGCATTTAGCACTTATGTGTATACTTCATATGTAGTAGGTAAGAAAAGTGTGCATTGCAAAATAACGAAATGGCAAGTAAGTCAAAGTCTTTAACTCCACATTTCACAATTTTCAAAATTTTCGGTTTATCGCGTATAGTTTTTGAAGCATTTTATTTTAAGAACTTCTTAAGTATGTGTTGTATTCTACAAACAATTACGAATAATGTGATACCTTAGCAAGAGGTGTGCTTTCAGAATAAACTAACTTTTAAAGATAAAATATTCTGCGATCTTGAGCGTAATTTTTATTCCAAAAACACCTTAATTGAAGGCACATTTGTAAAATATGTCGAAACGATCTAAATCTTTCTATAATTGCTAGTCCTTATAACGTTGCATATACCTGTAAAATGCTTCAAAAAGATGTTCTCTAGAAGTGTTTAAAGACCCCGATTTAGTACTTTTAATTATGCTCCTTCTTGTAGCCAGAATATTTCGAGCGTGGTATCAAATCAAATTTTTTTCGACAAAAGTTCTGATAGTTGCTCTTACTTAATTGGAGCCTTTTAAATTCAATGGCGTCCCCAGTTTTGCCCGATTGTCTCCACTTTTGGAGACAGCGGTACTTGAAACTTTGCTTATATTTGAACTATTTTATAAAAAAACTCTCTCAGTTTTGAAGATATTTTACTAAAATTTTGCACACGCTTGTATTTTAATATTTCCTTCACTATCTCATAAAATCATCGAAATCGGTTAACTCCAAAATCTAGCTCCCATACAACTGATTGTCCAGAGTTGCAGTTTTGCGTTATAACTCCTCCAATTAAATAAGTAAAAATTTAGTATAGGTTCACTTTAACATATAGCACGCATACAATTTATTAATCAGATATGAAGTTAGAGTTATAGCGCAAAAACACATATCTGATTAATCAGTTGTATTGGAGCTATACGTTAAAGTGCACCCATTTCGATAATTTTAAGGAATAATTAAGGTAATATTAAAAACCGTTATGTGCTAAATTTTAGTAAAATACCTTCAAAACTGAGGGAGTTATTTATAAAATAGTTAAAATATTATCAAATTTTCAAATACCGTTATCTTGAAAACCGGAGCCAATCTGGTAAAACGGGGGATGCTATTGAATTTAGAACGTCCCAATTAAGTGAGTTCAACTTTCAAAATCTCTGCTCAAAATTTACAACTTCAACAACTTAATTTGAACCCAGCTTATTCTTTTGTTTTCTATTTCATGTTTATTCCTCGTCTAACTTTTGAAGCACTTGATTAAAATGAATTACACTTATATTAATCGACTTATTAAGAGAATACGAATAAAATGATATATAAAACATAGGTGTGCTCACAAATTTAAAAATTAAAAATTTTTTTTTTGAGGTGTACCTATTTTGTAGATTTTCCCATATACATAGGTACATAATTTTTCAAAAACCGATAATAGTTTCCCATGCGAGTTTGTGTACATATCTGTGGCATTTTATGGCTAGTTAATCGTTGTTTGGGAACCCAATGAAATATTGCTTTAAAGGGATAATGGCTTATCTCATGAGAAGTTAACTTAATAATATGCCAAAGATTTATATATTACATACATTATATATAGATATGTACAATAAATACAAACTTACGTGAGCGTTAAATATAGGCGGCATTCTGGCGAAATGGATGGCCTATTAGAATTTTTTGTAATTTTTTCCTTAATCAAATTAAGGAGGAAGTCGAAAACTTGCTTCTCCATCCTAACATTGTTTTTAAATTCCTCCTGGAATCGAAAATTTGCAGTGAAGAAGCCACGTGTGTCCCGATCCCGCAGGGAAGGTCGCACCCACCATCTACGACTGCCATAAAGCCTCTTAATACACTCACTGGCTTCCAACAACAGCAGCACAATAATTATTATTTCAATTTTTTGCATTTCGAAGTTTCGCTTTGGGATATTTAATCTTTAAGGGCACACCGAAAAATTTTCTGCATTTATAAGAACGTTTGCCGCCAATAGAAATCAGCTGATTTGTTTACACGCATCGAATACTTCATTGTGGCATCCCTGTACGTTACGTACGTGATGTCGGATGGACGTATTGACTGAAGTAAAGGAGAAGTGCTGATTCTGACGAATGCTTTAACTCAAACTAACAGCCCGATTCTGTAAAAACTGACAGCGTTGCTTGTCAGTGCTGCCATGTCAGAGACGTTGTCAGTTGAAAGCTCCCGTGCTATTCTAGTTCGATGACTGAAAAGCTGAAAGCTCTTTAAACTCACCACGCAATGAACGGCAAAACAGCTGACTGGTGAGTTAAGTCAAACAGATGGCAACTGAGAATACGTAAGTTTGTTTACATTTTTTGTGTTAAAAAATACTTAAATGTGTTATTATTTTGATAGTGTGATAACAACTTCTTTATTTTCTTTTCTTTTGAAATAATATGTGTGCTACGTATGAATGTATGTAGGTGCGTAAAGTTTGAACGCTCCAGCGCAGAGCAGATGAGTTTTTCATACATTTTTGCCGACAACACCCGGAGTTCCAAGCAGGAAAAATCAATCCGAAGGAGCCGCGGCGTATGCAATTGCTTTGGGAGGAGGTAGCACAAGGGCTGAACTCCTTAAATGGTCCAACACGCACGGCAATCAAATGGAATGAGGTTGTATATACATATATGCAATATTACTCTTTTTGTGCATCAATAGTTACGTTTTCTTTACAGACATTAGGGAATTGGAAAAATCAATTACGCACGCGAGTGCGACGCATTAAAATGAACCAACGACTGGCTGGTGGTGGACCATCCGCTAACAGACCTCTCAGTGACTTCGAAGAGCTAGCGCTGGACACATTTGGAACAGCAGCAGTTGGCGGTTTGGAACATGTAAGGGCTTTAAGCGTTGCAGTCGCAAGTAACGGAGAGTCACTTCCTCTTAGCCCTGGGTTTTTGGAGACGCCCAGCCCTAGTGTACCACTGCCTCTCAGCCCTGGAGTTGCAGATGTTATAAGCCCAAGTGTCTCGCTGCCTCCTAGCGCTGAAATTACAGATATAATCGATGCAAGTGCCTTGCTACCTCCCAGCCCTGAAATTACAGATGTAATCGGTCCAAGTGCCCCGCTGCCTCCAAGCCCTGGAATTACAGATGTAATCGGTCCAAGAGCCCCGCTGCCTCCAAGCCCTGGAATTGCAGGTGCAATCAGCCCAAGTGCTTCGCTGCTCCTCACACATGGAATTGGGGAGACAGCTGCTGATATTCTTCCATCGCATCCAAGTTCTTCTGTTGTGCAGCTACAGAGCCCTCCAAGTATCTTTACACGTAAAAAACCAATCAAGTCAGAAGAAATGTTCTCTATGTTGCTGCAAAGCATGAAAACCAGAGATCAAAAAATGCAAGAAGTGGAAAATGCACGAGCAGAGAGAGAACAACAAATGGTCACAGTGCTGCAAGGTCTAACAATGCGTAACTGAACTGGTTAAAGAAATTCATAAGAAATAAAATGTTCTTCATAATAACAAATATTCCAAGACTAAAATAAATAAATTCCAAGACTGAAATAAATAAATTAAATAAGTACATATGTATATAAAAAATAATGAGTGTGTGTGTGTGTGTGAGTGTTTTATATTTGTCCAAAGTGCTCAACCGATCTTCATCAAATTTTTACAGTAGATTCATGTGGCCTCTAGGGAAAAAAGGATGTATTTATTTTCGTCATACCTCCGCAACTATTTGGTGAAAATTAGTGATATTTTGATATAAGCATCTTGGAAAAATGGGAGGTGCCACGCCCTATACGAGATGTTAAAGGATTGTAGGAATGTTAAAGGATTGTGGTTTTCCTACCGATCTATTCGAAAAAACGTATTTATGAACTGATTTTCTTGAAATCTGGTACGTAGATAACTTATTTCCTGAATTAACGTATAATATACTTTTTCCGATAGGTGGACCAGGGGCCAATCTATTGGAGAAAACGCATTTTTGATCCGATTAGGTACACGTATTATTTATACATACTACATATTTTGCGAACAATATCAAAAACGACAAATATTTGTTAAAAAAATGTTTTTTGTTTTCGATGAAAAAATTTAACATAAAGGTTGTTTTACTTGTTTCGGAAAACATAGGCACACAAAAAAAGAAAATGTTGTGAACCGGAGGGTAGACCCAACTATTTCTAACCTTTTGGGGTCGCTGAAAATGATAATGAACAAAAAAAATAATTTGAATTAACTACTTGCCCGCTACCACACCTGGAGGGATTAATTTTTCAAACTTTTTATTTAGATTTTTTAGAGAGATTTAGGGTATGCAGTCTTATAGGCCGATAAATTTTGCACTTTATCGTACTGAAATTTATCGGCCTATAAAACTGCAACCCTAAATTTCTCTAAAAATTCGAAATAAAAAGTTTGAAAAATCAATCCCCCAGGTGTGGTAGCGGGCAAGTGGTTAACTCAAATTATTTTTTATGGTCATTATCGTTTTCAGCGACCCCAAAAGCCTAGAAATAGTGGGCTCTACCCTCCAGTTCACAACATTTTCTTTATTTGTGGGCCTGTGTTATTAAAAAAAGTTAACATTATACATGTAAGGTAGAAATATATCTTTGTCGAATCCTTCCACCTTCCCTGCCAAAGTTAGAAGTGTCTCCTGGTGCTATCGTTTCGTGTTGTGT